TTGAGTCTGGGTCTCCCTCTCTCTCTCTCTCTCGCCCAGGCTAGAGTGAGTGGTATGATCATGGCTCACTGAAGCCTCCACCTCCTGGGCTCAAGTGATCCTCCCACCTCAGCCTTCCAAGGTGCTGCTATTACAGGTATGAGCCACTGCACCTGGCCAATATAGAATGTTGTATTTATCCTGAAATGTGGTACAGGATATTGCTCAGAACGTGCTGTAGTGATTCTCTGAAAAACAATGCCCCACTCTGTAGAAAATGCACCCTTGGTGTTAATCCCACACTCAAATGGCCAACGTCTCAGTTTGAATAGCACTTCAAAACAGACAAGTCTTTTCCAAGTCTGAGTGGGAAACAAATTCATTCACTATTTACTGTTTTCCTCAGAGAAAAATAAATCTCTGTACGTTAAAAAAAGAAATATTGCCCTAATATACCTTAAATGAGCCTTTCTTCAAGTTCTGGAAGTACGCGTGTCCAAAGCCCTTCTCAGTGGTAGGACAGGCCCAACACCTGCTCCTCGGAACAGACACGAAGCTTATTTTACAGGAGGGGGGTGAGTGTGGCCCTGATGGGTAACTGAGCTCTAGGGGGCTAACCTCTGCCCCAACCTGGAAACAGCCTTCCTTCAGTGGCCCTGTCCTCAGGCTTCACCCCGGGTGGAAGTCCCCATCACTGCCAGCCTGTGCTAGAGCAGCTGTGCCACAGGGCACCCCATCCTGTCCCATTTTGCTAAGCAAACCCTTTAAAAATCCTTTTGTTATTGTGAAACGTATCATATTAAAGTGGCCTTTATTTATTTATTTACTTTTTGAGATGGAGTTTCACTCTTGTCACCTGGGCTGGAGTACAATGGCGCAGTCTCGGCTCACTGCAACCTCTGCCTTCCGGGTTCAAGCGATTCTCCTGCCTCAGCCTCCCGAGTAGCTGGGATTACAGGCATGTGCCGCCATGCCTGGCTAATTTTTTTTTTTTTTTTTTTTTTTTTTTTTGTATTTAGTAGAGACAGGACTTCACCATGTTGGTTAGGCTGGTCTTGAACTCTTGACCTCGGGTGATCCACCCGCCTTGGTCTCCCAAAGTGTTGGGATTACAGGCGTGAGCCACAGAGCCCGACCTAAAGTGGCCTTTGTAAGGACCATGTCTGGCCTTTTTTGTTTTTCCTGCCTAAAACCCATGAGTCTCTATTGCAGCGTTTCTCAAACTCCTGGGCTCAGGAGGCAGTTAGAGACTAGTGAAGGGAAAGGGAGGGAACCGTTTGTGCCTGCTGAATGGACAGTGCCGGCCCCAGGCAGGAAGCCCTCATTTCAGGGGTGAGGTGTAGGTGAAGGTGGGGTCACGGTGCATACACTTTGATGATTGGGGGAGGCATCCCAAGGCCTTTGTTAGGACACCTGGTCCCCTTTGAGAAGATCTTCTGGCCCCTTCCCCTTTAACTCCCCACAATGCTGAGCTGTTTTCCACCTCCACGCCTGGGCAGCAATCTCCTCCTCTGCCCAGATGCCTTCTACTTCATGTCCCCAGACTCTTGTGACACCCTTCAGGAACCCGGCCCTGACTCTCCTCTGCATGGTGCTATGGTTAGACGCTTGGGACTGTGGCCTCTGAGGCCCCCACTTCTTGTCCCTTGCTGTCCCAGCAGCCAGGCTGAGTTTCTGCCTGTCCAGCTCTGGGAGGACATGTCATCCACAGCACAGTCTGCACTGGGGTCCAGCTGCTTGCTGCTAAGAAGCCTGGCAGTCTCTGCCAGATTTGGAATTCCAGGGGAGGAGAGCTGATGGGCCTGGCTGGAGTCAGGCATCCCCCCTAGTCTAAGCAGCAGAGGCTCGGTGGGCTGGAGCGGTTTGCTGTTCTCAGGGGTGGGGAGGTCTTTGTGAGTGGGCTGGAGGGGTTGCTGGTGTTCTCAGGGGTGGGGAGATCTTTGTGAGTGGGCTGGAGGGGTTGCTGGTGTTCTCAGGGGTGGGGAGATCTTTGTGAGTGGACTGGAGGGGTTGCCGGTATTCTCAGGGGAGATCTTTGTGAGCGGAGTACCCCAAAACTGTCTGTAACTCCTCTGGGAAATACTCTTGTATCTGCCCAGCATGGCCTGTGCTGCTGCTACCAGGCAGTGCATTTCGTTGGAATTTGTGTGTGATTTACTGAGTGCTATGAAGTGTTGAGGGTGTGTGAAAATAAAAAGCAGTTTCCCTGCTTTTCAGGAGTTGGTCACAGACTTGAAGAAACAGAGTGCACCTCCGTGAAAGGGCGCCGTCATCTCTTTTCTCACGTTCTGCCTGCCCTTCAAGACCTACAGCCCCAAAGTCTTTCCTGGATAATGGAGCTCACGGCTGCCCCAGTTAACACCCACATAGACACAGACATTCGCAGTGTCAGTGTGGGCTGTTTGAGCTCCACAGTTAGCCCTGGGTTGTACAGAAAGCATCTTATTCACAAATCGAGTGTGTGTGAATTTGCAAATTTGCACCTGGTGTGTTTGGGTTATCTTCCTGGCTGGCTTGGTTCAAGTCCTGCGTGTGTGCACACAGGTGCATGTGTGTGTGCTGGGAGCATGTGTGTGGGGGTGCAGCAGCCATTTGCGGGTACAGGCAGCGTGACTGGAGACAGACTCCCACAGAACCTTCCAAACAGGTGTTCCTGGGCCTGGCTGGGACAGGGTAGGAGTAAATTCAGTCAGCCTCGCCTGTCAGATGGGGTGGGGTCACACACAGCCCTGCTGCGCCTCTTAGGGGGCTCCTGGGGAGCCTTGGTGGGGGCAGACACTTCCCTTCCCACCCCCTGCGTTGCAGGAGCCTGCCTGGTGTGGCTGGCCAGTGGGATGTGAGTGTGACTGAGGCTTTTGGATTGACGGAAGCCCATCTCCATGAAAGGTCAGCGTCCCTAACAGACGTTACGTGGGCACAGCCTGAGGCTGGTCATCATTGGATGTGAGTGTTTCGCTGGCCTCGATCCATGTTTGGGTGACGTGGCGTGTTTTCTTTTCTCAGCACCAAGAAGGACCGAGCCCTGCGGGAGACGCAGAGGCTGTGGCAGAGGCCGTGGCTGAGGACCGCAGGCCTGGGGGCCGGCCTTGTGCTTACCGCATTCCTGCTCTGGAGCAGCCTGGGGGCTGACGACGGGGTCGCAGAGGTCCTGGCCCGCCGTGGCGAGGTCCTGGTGGGGAGATTCATCGAGGTGCCCTGCTCTGAGGACTATGACAGTCACCGGAGGTTTGAAGGTACAGTGCCATGGTCTCTGCGGTAGTTCAGGAAAGCAACATGTTAAAATGAGACTCAATGTGCTTGAAGGATGTCTGCTGCTGGCTGTAAATAAGGGGTGGAAACTGGGTTGGATGTGGTAACCCTGGGGTGGCAGATGCCCCTCCTCTCCTGCAGGCTAGCTAGTCCATGTGGTGACCCTGGGGTGGCAGATGACCGCTCGTCTCCTGCAGGCTGGCTAGTCCATGTGGTGACCGTGGGGTGGCAGATGACCCCTCCTCTCCTGCAGGCTGGCTAGTCCATGTGGTGACCCTGGGGTGGCAGATGACCCCTCCTGTCCTGCAGGCTGGCTAGTCCATGTGGTGAC